ATTAACCCCTACAAGGCATGTGGTCCTGACAACATCAAACCACGAGTGCTAAAAGTATTGGCCAATGAAATCGCTCCTGCATTAACAATCCTCTTCCAATCGTCGCTATTCACAGGCAACGTTCCAACTGACTGGAGAACAGCGTATGTCATTCCAATCTACAAAAAATGGGAACATTACGACCCAGCCAATTACCGCCCTGTATCCCTCACTATCGTAGTATGTAAACTATTGGAGCACATAATCGTAAGCGCGGTCATGAATCACCTGGAAAGACACAATATTCTCAATGACTGTCAGCATGGATTTCGAGTCAAAAGATCATGCGAGACCCAACTCTTTGAATTTGCTGAAGAATTGAAGACCAATTGGAGAACAGCAAGCAGACTGATGTGCTTGAGCTGGTCTTTTCAAAAGCGTTTGACCGTGTCAACCTTAGCCTGCTATTACACAAACTGCAGAGATAAAGGATCCAAGGCACTACCAAAACATGGATCTCTAGCTTCATCAGCGACCGATGCCAGGCAGTAGTGGTAGATGACAAAACCTCCTCCTATCTCGGTGTTAAGTCAGGCGTCATCCAGGGCTCAGTGCTAGACCCTTGTTTGTTCCTAGCATATATCAATGATCTGCCCGAGAAGCTGATCTCTCAAGCAAGACTGTTCGCAGACGACACGGCGGTATATAGGACAATCGTCAACAGCTCTGACCAGAGCCAGCTTCAACAAGACCTCAATCGGTTAGCTGAGTGGGAGATGAGCTGGGACATGGAATTTCATCCTGTCAAGAGTAAGATCTTGTCAGTCTCCAGAAGCAGTTTCCCTCTAAACCACTCTTACGAACTGCATGGCCATATTCTTGTGCAAGTTTCCTCCGTAAAGTACCTGGGTGTTACAATTCAAAGAGAGGTCCGCTGGGACGAGCACATTAACAGTGTGTGCAACTGGGCAAACAAAACCCTGGGGTTCCAAAGGTGCAATCTAAAGATCGGAAACTCAAGCGTGAAAGAAAAAGCCTACAAAGCCTTTGTCCGGCCTATTTTCGAGTACGCTTCTACAGTCTGGGACCCATTTACCCAGAAAAGCATCGACATGTTGGAGATGGTCCAGCAACGGGCAGCACACTTTGTCATGAACCGCTACAGAAACACCTCAAGTGTTGGCAGCATGCTAGAAAAACTGCGCTGGTCTACATTGGAAGAATGACGACGACTATCCAGGCTAACCATGTTGTACAAGATAAAAAATGGGCTGGTCCACTGCTCCGGAATCAAACAGAAACTCGTTCATCTTCCCCTAGACTGCGACGAAGCCACGACAGACAGTTCCGGCTGGTTAAAACAAGAACAAAGAACAGGAGCTCCTAATTCCTGCCGAACACAATAGGGGACTGGAACAAGCTTCCAAAAGCAACAGTTGAGGCGGCTACACTCGACACATTTGTTTCTATTGCCTCCTGTATGCTAACCCCCCGTTCATAACACCACTGCTGAGTCGCCCTTGCAACCAGTGAAGCATCCCATTGAAACCAATGCACAGTAACATCGCAAACCCCTCTGAAACATAGGAGCCAGAATGATCAATTCATTGATCGTGGGCCCTCAAAATAAAGAAAAAGAAGAAGCCCACACAGTGTTTGAGCACTTTTCTGAGCTGTCGGATAACATTTATGATCAACTGTTTACGAGATGTAAATATTTCCATTCATACTCAATAACTCTTGATTGAAAGCACAGACGTTACTGAAACTGAACAGCTCTCAATATTGGTCCGTGGAGATTTAATGAAAATAAATCACTAGGGAATGTGAGCAAAGGTTGCTCAAATTTTCATTTAACATGTTTAAAATGGGAGCTTTTATTTCCTGATTGTCAAAAGCTAGTCTTTTTCTTACTTTGAGGTAAAGTACACGAACTTTTTAAATATTTCAACTTTGTGACTTAACAATTATGGTCATTTGTTCCTAAGTTTCATGGACGGAGCCCCGCTGCCACCGTCTATCGTTTCGGTGAGTTACAAAACCTTGTGGCGTCATACGCTACCTATGTCAAGCTTGAGATTATTAACCTATCTGACCTGTATTAGGTCTAGTGTACAACCGAATTTTAGCTTCGGTGTCAGCTCTCATTTAGACTTTTGGCAATGATCGTAAGTGATTGAGATTCTCGGTCATCCACTAGAAGTCAGACTGTCTCTATGCTGACAATCTGATATTTATTTTTACTCAACGTCTCACTGTCTTCGTATGTTATAAGACTTATACTTTGCGAAAACTGCTCACATCTGCTTAATGGCCTACTTGTCGTTTAATTTCAAAAAAATTAAGTTCACTTAAGTCAAGTCAAATGAAAATAATTTTATGAAAGACAAATTTATGAAATTGTAATGTTAATATCATTACTTTTGTCTCATTTTTTTTTCAAAAATAAAATTTTGAACCCTAGCTACATTCAATTTGATTTATCATTATCATCCTCATGTTGTCACAGGCAAAGTTAAATAATATTGAATGAAAAAAGGGATTAGTAATATTTTAATTATTATTTTCTTTTTTTTTACGAATAAATATTAGAGAAACGTAGGCTTTTTCAATTAGCTTATCTCTTGAAATTTATCATTTTCATGCTCACATAATTTTTTATTGATGAAATAACCTGCGTTCGTATAATAATGATAATTTTGGCAAACTACAGACCTGTTTAGTTTGATGATTTTGGCAACCAATTTAGATTACTTTTGCGATTGTCCCAAGAATCGCCAAAGCAAGAATTTTAAATGACCAGGTAAACAAAAATATGTTGCTTCAATAATGGGATTGAGGGAGATTGATAGACGAGCGAAATAATTGCGTCACTGGCACTAAAAGACTAATGTGTTGGTAATAGCTTCTTAGGTCGAAAGTCTCGTTAAGC